ATCATGATTGTCATAGTAAAAATGTATAAACTGTTTTTGTCTTGGTCTGAATCCACTTAAAATTTTATTTCAGATATTTATTTTGTTCTTTATCCTTCAGTAGTATAATAAATATTAACATAATTAAGGAATATTCTGTCACCTTTCTAATATGTTGAGTAATTTATACCTGCAAGAAGAGAATTAAGTTATATAATTTAGGGTATTCATATTTAGCTGGTATTTTTCCATATATTATTAAGAAAATTACTCTCTTTCCTCAAATATAAATTTGTAAGTTTTTATATTGCAAAAATAAACTGAGCTCAGCTATGGAATTTTTCTAGATTTGGGAGTTTGGTTTTTACTAAACCCTTCTATCAGTTTTTAAAAGAGTGGAAAAGAATCCCTTAGAAGACTTTTTTAACAAACTGTATTTTAACTTTCTTAAAGGGTGAAAGTTTACACAAAAACTGATGGTGTGGTTGCTCTTCATCCTAAATCTGTTAATGTGGAGCAAACGGACTTTCACTACAACTGGCTTATCTATCACCTGAAGATGAGAACAAGTAGTGTAAGTGAACATTATTCTTGTATTTTCATAATTGTTTTCACAATTATAAACAAAAATTTTCTTTTTTTTTTCTTCTGACCTGAACTACAATTTTTTTCCTTAAGTAAATAACCTATACTTTTAATTTGCAGGTCTGTCATGATGGATCTTTGTATTTTGATTAAGAATTAATTAATTTTGCATTTTAATTGTTTGATTTGCATAATTTTTTCAGAGTCTGCTTTCAAGAAATGCTGGCATTTTACCATGTACAAGAGTTTACACTGTATAAAGAATTTTGTTGGCATATCAATATACTTTATAAATACTTGTCAGAATATTAAGTGGGATTCCATTTATTTATATTTTTCTCTTTAGAAAAATAATTTAAGATGGTTTCTTAAATACTAGGTATATAAAAATAATTTAGGTACATTAGTGTTTTGGTTTAGTCACTCAAAATATTTTGTTCAAAGAATAGTGCAGTAGTTTAAAACAAAAATATAAAACCCCTATGCTCTCTGAATTAATCAAGAATGGCTCATTTAAAATTATATTCTTCAAAATTAATCTGTGTAATTACACTAGCAGGTTAATACCTGTTTTTGAAGCAAGGCACTAATAGATTGATGCTGGTGATATTGTTGAATTAATGTGGTAATAATCTTTTCAGACTTCTGAATGTATTAATTTACTTTAATTTTCATTACAGATATACTTATATGACTGCACAGAGGTTTCCCCGTACTGTCTCTTGTTCTTTGGAGGTGATATTTCTATCCAGAAGGATAATGATCAGGAAACTATTGCTGTAGATGAATGGATTGTCTTTCAGTCTCCAGCAAGAATTGCTCATCTTGTTAAGGTGACTGACTTCACATGATTGTCTTAATTTTTTTTTTATTGAAACATAATTGATTATACATATTTGTGGGGTTCAGAGTTGAATATCAGTACCTGTATACAGTGATGAATGGATTGTCTTTCAGTCTCCAGCAAGAATTGCTCATCTTGTTAAGGTGACTGACTTTACATGATTGTCTTAATTTTTTTTTTATTGAAACATAATTGATTATACATATTTGTGGGGTTCAGAGTTGAATATCAGTACCTGTATACAGAGTGTGATTATCAAATCAGGATAATTAGCATATTCATCATTACAAAACGTAATCATTCTTTGTGTACATGATTATCTTTAAATCTACATGCCTGTCAGCATGTGGTCTTGTCGTTTTGTTCCAAGTGTTATATATATTAAACATTTCTTACTCTATTTCAACAGAGCAAATAGTCTTGAGAAATTGATTCTTAGCTTTTCTGAATTGTGTTTTGAGGTGGTAATAGACCAACCATTCTAAATGGCTCAGCATGATTGAAGTTTGAATTTACCTACGCTTTAGTTGGTTGCTCACTATTTCAGTCTTTTGTATATTAGCTTTTGAAACTGTTTGTATTAGCTAGAGTAACTTTTATTTATTACATTGTTTGATAATAATACACCTGCATTTGTTAAACATGTGTAATTTTTCCATCATTAGGAATTAAGAAAAGAACTAGATATCCTTCTGCAAGAGAAGATTGAAAGTCCCCATCCTGTAGACTGGAAGGACACTAAATCCAGAGACTGTGCAGTGCTGTCAGCTATTATTGACTTGATCAAAACACAGGAAAAAGCAACTTCCAGGAACTTACCACCACGATTCCAGGATGGGTATTATAGCTGACAACTTTTCTGTGATGGCCTGAAAAGCAAATTTTATATCCATTTTTCCATCACAGTTTAATTTTTGGCTAGATGCCAAACCCTGGGACATGATTTTTGTGTGTAAGATAGAAATTTTCATGTGTAAGATAGAAAACTTCAGTAGGAGGTAAAGACTTAATGTGCATGACTTAACAATATTATCTATAGCTATTATAAATACACCATAAAAAGCAATATGTTCTCTGGTCATATACTCTTGTGCTCATGTCCACACTTTGGGAGTATCCCTCTTATGTATATTGAGTGTTGCACCAATTGAGAAATTTCTTTGTTCTGTTATGTAAAATTAGTTTTTCTGCCCATAATGACTGAGTACAGAATCAGTAAAAATAGAATGGTTAGCCAAAAGGCAGTGTCAAGTCAGAATTTGAACACAACCACATTTTTAAAAATGAAACTTCTATCAGAAGTAAATTAATTGGTTGTAATGAATTTCAGTATTTAATAAATTGTACAATGTGTAAATCTCAGCTAACTTCTTGGCTTGGTTTGTACATCTCTATGGTTTATTTGATGTTTTTACTCTTAAAAATGTATATATATACCCCTTTTACATCACCCTCTGCAGCATAAGGTAGCAGTTGACAGCATGGGTCTGGATCCTGATTACCTCAGTTCCAATCTCAGCTCTGTCACTCACTAGAGTCACTTACTAGATATCTTGGGCAGATTACTTGGCTTCTCTCTGTTTCCTCTTATCTATAAAATACAAGTAAAACTTGTGAGAATTAAACATGTTAATTTGTATAAAGCACATAGACTAGTGCCTGGCACATAGAATGTACTCTCTCAGTCTTAGTTATTATTTGTCCCTGAAATATTTTTTCAAATGTATAACAGTCCATTATATTAGTTCTTTTTCATTGCTACTTTACCCTCTTAGCCAATGGAAGCTAATGTGACAACATGTTCTGTATGCTTTCAGTCCTATCAGACTGTGACAAATACTGTTGTTGCTGTTCAACAGCCATTTTGTCCGTCCCTTCGTGCTTGCTTGTTCAAGAGTTCCCTCTCTGCACAGCTTTGTGCTCAGGGATGCTGGACTCTTCCCCAAGGGTGAATCTGGTTGTTCTAAGACAATCATGTGTGGTCTTATTTCCCTCATGAGTAATTGCTGAGGCATGAGTATGAAAACCTTTGTCAGTGTCAACTAAGTGATGTTCAAAAGGATGTCTGAGTTTCAAGAGGAGGAAACTCTGCTGTCTTTCTTTGGGCATTGTTGTGTCTGAATCTGATACTCGGAACTGCTGCAGCCAACTTATGATCACAAGGGGACACAGAGCCATATCCTGAGGTTGGCTCCATGGAAAGATGGAACTCTTTAGAGTCCTTGATAATGCTATTGAGCTGCAGAATTAACCAACTCTAAAACTGCCATACACATGGACTGACTGATTTAAATAAACCCTTCATTATTTAAGCCACTTGTAGTAGGGTATTTTTAACTTAGAAGAAAGCATATTAACTGAAACGTATACTATCCATTATTGAGTGTTATTTGTTGAGGCCTCTATTTCTGTTTATTTTGTGATATAATAGTTTTAACCCCTGTGTCTGACAAAAGGTGTAAAAGTGGTAATAATAGACTGCAGAAAGAAACAGGAAAAGTATCCTGCTATACCCTAAAAAATGCAAATTTTATTGTGCCTTCCAATAAATGCAAGGAAACCAAAGGAATAAGAATATCATATACAATGACTGGTATTTATTGATAATGCTACGATGATCTGTTAACAGCACTGATTCAGCTACTGCTCCCATTTCTGGGAATGTATGCCACCTGTCTGTATGTCCTAAGTCTTGGCTGGTCTCCCAAAAGTGATCTGTCTCACTGAATTCTTATATTGACTCATGGCATACTAGCTTTGCCCCTAAAGTCAAGGTGACCATCAGGTCCTATTTGCTCTATAAGAGTTGTGTTTGTGCTTTTTTCTTTCCTTTTTTTTTCTTTTTTACTATCCAGTTTAAATTTACACAGTCAGTTGGCCAAAATGGTCTTGGATGAAAGGATTTAAAGATTTGTAAAAAAGATTGTTCTGTTTTTGCAAACCAATATTTAATCTCCATATGAATGGGAAAAACATTCCTTAAGAATTATTTAATAGATGAGGTGTTCAGAGATTAAAGCAGTTTCTGTACCTTCAATTTATGTTTTCTTCACAGCTGATAACAATGGAAATTTTAACTCAAGGTGCTATTTATTCTGTTTCTTTTGTTTACAAAATAGGGCATTACTGAGTGGAAAGTGCATTCTGGGTTTAAGAGCTATTTGTTCTCTAGTGGTTTTAAAGAATAAGACATTAAATTAAGAAAGAAGATATATTTGTCTTACCATTCTCAGCCAATACAGAGGATAACTTGAAAAAAATAACCCTGAAACAGAAACTTATGCTTCTGGGGAAAGATGAAAGAAATAAACCACTGAATAATCCTTTTAAAAGTGTGTTTGAAAAGTGAGTTCATGTGATGCCTTCCTAATTTATTAATTTGGGCAAAAGCTATAGATAAACTTATACCAATTGTTACAAGTTATTCTCTATTCTTGCTGCATTTTTCAAATGGTTCACCTTAAAAGTTGTAAATTATAGAAAAGCTTTAGAACAAATTCTTTTTAGTACCTCCTTACCCAGAGGAAATGATGGTGAATTTCCTCCCATTTTTGGCTCTGAGATTGTATTTAGTTCACCTTAAAAGTTGTAAATTATAGAAAAGCTTTAGAACAAATTCTTTTTAGTACCTCCTCACCCAGAGGAAATGATGGTGAATTTCCTCCCATTTTTGGCTCTGAGTTTGTATTTGTTTTTAAGTCACTGTGGTCATGTTGCATAATCATATATTTGTAATATGCTAATTGTTTTAAAATGGTATTGTTATTCTGATTTTAAAACTGTCCTCACTGAAGAATATTTGGAAACTCGACATACAAAGTAAATCATGTTACCATTGCTACATTTTGATATGTTTTCATAATTTTTTAAAGCTTTAAGCTATTATTTTATATGTAGTAAAATTAAAAAGTGTAATGTGTAATTCAGTGAATTTTGTCAAATGTATAGTCATGTAATTACTACCACACAATCTTGATATAAAACATTCCTATCACCTAAAAATTTCCCTTGTTCCCCCTTTGCAGTCAATCCCTTGCTCCCACTTTACCCCCTTGCAACCATCGATCTGCTTTTTGTCACTATAGTTTTTGCCTTTGCCTTTTCTAGAATTTCAAATAAATGGAATCATATGTAGTCTTTTGTGTCCAGCTTCTTTCACTTTATAGTGCTTTTGAGATACTCATGTTGTTACATGTATTAGTAGTCCTTTTTTATTATTTAGTCGTGTTGTACAATCATACCGCAGTTTATTCATTCACAAGTTGATGGATATTTGAATTATTTTTAATTTTTTTGCTATTATGAATAAAGCTGCTATAAACATGTGTAATACAAGTCTTTGTGTGTTATTTGTTTCCATTTCTCTTGGGTAATGGTAAATACCTAAGATTTAGATTTGTGTCATATAGTAAGTGTGTTTATAAGAAAGTGTCAAACTTTTGGGAATTTTACATTCCCAGTAGCAGCGTGTGAAGTGTCGAAGTGTTCCATGTTCTTGCCAGTACTGGGTATTTTTAGTTGTTTTGTTGTCCTTTTAATTTTAGTTTTTAGTGAGTGTGGAGTCTTATCTCATTGTGGTTTTAGTTTGCATGTCTATAACGATTAATGATGAGCATCTTTTAATGTGCTTATTTGCTGTTTTCCTTAGTAGTCTTATACACTTCTCTGTGTTTTGATTTTCCACCTCATACGTTAAGTGATTGGGGATTTAAGAATATATCTGACTATGGGAAGAGAGGATTACTAATTAATTTTAGGAATGCAGAAAGTTGTTATATACATTCCTTGACATTGAAAATGGCCAGATGTACTACTCTTCCCTTGGCTGGTACAGTGTAAAGAGTTAAGCCATTGTTATAAAGTGCCAGAAGCACCAGTTTTAGATAGTCATGAGGGCAGGAGGTTGCATATTCACCATGAGGTGAGGTGAGGAATAGAGCATAAGAGAAAACATTTCTTGATGTTGGGAAATACATGAGAGATAAGGAAAACAGCTGATGCGGAAGCACTGCAGAGCAGTCTTTACTGTGGATGACAGAATCAGAACAGGGAACTTCTTTTAAATTGTGACTACCTTTTTTATAGTTCTTAAATTTGGTTCATGTCTTAATGGTCTGGTATGAATTTTCAAGCAATTTTTTTCAAGAAGACAATAAGTGGTTTATTTCTGAATCCTTGCAGAGTATGTTACCTTTCCACAATGAAGACAACCTGGTTGGGAATAAAACTCATTTTAGCAAAGTTTTAATTTAATGAAATAAAGTGATTCCTTAGTATTTTTCTCTTCCTAGGCCTTCTAGCTGTGTATTTATTTATTTTAGGTTTTTCGATGCTTAGTCTTTGCCATAGCTCTTATTAACCCCATTTCCTTTTAACAGCCAAAATTAGATAGTTTGGTTATTTTTAATTGTTCCTGGAAGCAAATTTTTAACCTTGATTTTAAGGCAAAGGTGGAACAGACCTACCTCTACAGTTTTTATGCTGTTTGGAGTACAAATGGAGGCCAACATACTAGATCTCTAAATATTTTTAAGTTGTAAATTTAACAAACTTGAATAAAATGTCCTAGTTCCTGGAAGCAAATTTTTAACCTTGATTTTAAGGCAAAGGTGGAACAGACCTACCTCTACCGTTTTTATGCTGTTTGGAGTACAAATGGAGGCCAACATACTAGATCTCTAAATATTTTTAAGTTGTAAATTTAACAAACTTGAATAAAATGTCCTACTAACTTGACAAGTACATATTTATGATGACAAAAAATGGTATAAAATGGAATATCAAAGCTGTCTTTTAGCCTGTACTGAGTTTCTCCAAGTATTTTGACTTTTTCCATATATTCTTTTTTGCACTGATAAAGCTATGACTTTTTTTTCTTTTGCCTATTAATATGGTGGATCACGTTGGTTGATTTTCAAATATTGAGCAAGCCTTACATTCCTGAAATAAGCCCTACTTGGTCACAATTTGCAATTCTTTTTATGTCTGATTTGGTAATGTGAGGGTACTTCAGAAAGTTCATGCAAAAATAGAATTAAAACAATAATACAAATCCTTCTCTAAACTTGGGGATCGCAACCCTCGGCACGGTGCGATCCGCACCACGCTCATCCAGTGAGGGCACCAGCCATCCCTGTATAGGATCCGAACCTGTGGCCTTGGCACCCCCAGCGCTGCACTCTCCTGAGTGAGCCATGGGGCCAGCCCTCTCTAAACTGTTTGAAGACCCCTCATTTCACTGAAGATTTTTGCCTCTGTCTTCATGAGTGATACCAGTCTATAGTTTTAGTAGGGTAATGCTGACCTCATAAAATGAGCCAGAAAGTGTTGCCTTCCTCTTTTATTTTCTGGAAGAGACTGAG